AGTCCCTCTAAACACAGAGAGAGATGAGTTTATCATAACACAAACCCCACCGTGCCACTCATTGAGATTCAGTGTGTAGCTCAGTTGGTAGAGCATGGCGCTTGCAACGCCAGGGTTGTGGGTTCGATTCCCACGGGGGCCAGTATGAAAATGTATGCACTCACTAACTGTAAGTTGCTCTGGATAAGAGCGTCTGCTAAATGACTAAAATGTAAATATATATAATATACTGTATATACACACATCAAATATTACTGCCCACTACAGGAAATGGTGACCCCGACATGATATATCATTAGGAACTTGTGGATTTTGTTGATAACTTTAGAAGTACGGTAAATGGCGACTGGATAATTTTGAATATTATTGGTTACTTTGAAGGTCCAGTTCGGGTGAGTTTATGCAGAAGATTGTCATATCCTTCAGTGTTGCACCCACGGGTCCATAGGAAGTTTTGATTATTTATTCCATTAGATTCCCTGATATGTACTGAACAAAAATATAAACGCAACATACAACAATTTCAAAGATTTCACTGAGTTACAGTTCATAGAAGGAAATCAGTCAATTGAAATAATTTCATTAGGCCCTAATCTATGGATTTCACATGACTTGGCAGGGTCAGATTGAGGTTTCCCCCACAAAAGTGATTTATTACAGACATAAATACTCCTCAGCACCCCTCCTCCCCTTCCTCAGACGATCCCGCAGGTGAAGAAGCCGGATGTGGATGTCCTAGGCTGGCGTGGTTACCCGTGGTCTGCGGTTGTGATGCCGGTTGGATGTACTGCCAAATTCTTTAAAACGATGTTGGAGGCTGTTTATGGTAGAGAAATGAACATAAAATGATCTGACAACAGCTCTGTTGAACATTCCTGCAGTCAGCATGCCAATTGCATGCTCCCTCAAAACTTGAGACATCTGTGGCATTGTGTTGTGTGACAAAACTGCACATTTTAGAATGGCATTTTATTGTCCGCAGCACAAGGTTCACCTGTGTAATGATCATGCTGTTTAATCAGCTTCTTCATATGCCACACGTGTCAGGTGGATGGATTATCTTGGCAAAGGAGAAATGCTCACTAACAGGGCTGAAAAAAAAATTTGGTTTGCAAAATTTGAGAGAAATACGCTTTTTGTTTGTATGGAACGTTTCTGGGATCTTTTATTTCAGCTCATGAAACATGGGACCAACACTTTACATGTTGCATTTATATTTTTGTTCAGTATATAACGAACACGTAGCCTACGCAATGGATAAGGTGCAAGCTATAGACCTCAAAAGCTGATCAAGAAAGATAAGAATAGTCTTAATATTAATTCGACAAGCGATTAAATACTTGATTACTGGTAAACAATTGGCATGTATAAAAACGAGGTGGAGAGAAACCTAATTCTAGAGGTTAGTGCGCATTTGCTTTGCAAACACCAACACAGGGAATTGAAGTGAAATATAGGCATTTTTGAATTATTTTCTGACGAGAAAACATTTAGAGTGAGAGCTGATGCTTTTGAAGCTGCAATGTAAAGTGCTAGAAAAAAAGTGTCAAGACACTGGAGCATTCAGGCACTGGTGGCGTTTCAGACACCGATAGTGGTGTTGGCTTTACAGATGACTGTGGAGAGTGCAGCCGCACTCCAAAACGCATGTTATGCCGCCCGCATATTCAAACTCCTGGCCGCTGTCGCACTCCTCATAGACTAGCGAGTCCATTCAGGGCAGTAGCAGCTCATGTTAATGTCATTAGTACATTTACAAACAATACAGGCCAGAGTCTGTCATTTTGCGCAGGTTAACATGCAGTGAGGCCACCTTTCACTTAAATGAAATTGGACCATTCCCAGTGAAATCTCCATTCACACCATTGTGGGAACGGGTGAAGACCCAGTACAACTCGTATATTCTTGAAATGCGAGATGTATGGCGAGTACTTTTGCTCTCAACTCCAAGTGAAATTGCCCACAGAGCCACAGAAGATTTTAAGGATGGCACAATTGTCAACCAATGCAGACATCTTAGAGCGGCTTAAAGCAAACTTGCTCGCTCTTCGGGGTCCATCTCATGCAGACTGGATTAGGTTCTTGGCCTGTAAGCAGGGCACAAGGTAACCTTTCGAACAGTACGCAGAGCGACTGAGTAAAGCGTTAGATTTGGGGGGTCCTGCAGATAACACATTCCAAAGAATTGTTACATGGGCCACTAATACGGAATCTAGGACAGGATGTCCTAACCAGGCATGTTCCGTTGCATCTAACTATGTTATCCCTAAACAGCACACTAAACAGTGTACTCACTGCAAACGAACAGGACATGTAGTGAAAACTTGTTTGGATCTGTGGAGGGGTCGTCCCCCCAGGTATTTCAACCAAGGTGTAGGATGGGTCATCTAGCATCAAAGTGTTGGAACCTTGGATTTGGGAATCCACCTTTCTTTATGCGTCTTAAACTAGACACAGAGCAAATGTTTCGGACTTGAATAGCACTCGTCTGTAGCCTACCTGGTGGCGGCCACATCCGTGCCTCTCTCTAACAACCACATAGGCCAAGCTACAGAGCTCAGTCATTTTTCTATTCATTGAAAATGTAATTCGTGAAGCGTTCCTTGTTTTTGAACATGAATAGCTAGTTTTAACCGACAACGTGTTTATTATGCTGCGGTTGTCTTGGTTGCGCATAGGACAGGTTTCAACTTTAGCGATTACAAGGTATAGACATTCTCTCAATGTATAGTGTAAGCGGGTAATTGTAGAGCAAATTCTTCAGCAAACCCTCTTTGATAAATATCCTGACTTGTTTGAGAAACGACTGCAGACTCTACCCCAATGTTTTAAACATTGTTGCCTGGAGCTCAGAGGCTCAGACTAACTGTAATTCTAACATAACCGGTAGGCTGAGACAATGTAGTCTCAAACATATGTTTATAACATTGAACACTTTTAATCTTGTGTGGTAATCAGTTGTGTTAGATTTCTGAGTGTGATTTCTATTCTTATGCGTATTGTGCATATGGCTAAGTCCATCTGATATGTGACGATGTGTGTGTGAGTTATGAGTTTTGTCCCACCCCTCTGCTAGCCAGTGGCTGGCTGGGTGGCTGTTTGTTGATAGGCTACACAGGATGGTCTAAGGCAGGGTTTCCCAAACTCGGTTCTCTGGACCCCAAAGGGTGCATGTTTTGGGTTTTGCCCTAGCACTACACAGCTGATTAAAATAATCAACTAATCATCCATCTTTGATCATTTGAATCAGCTGTGTAGTGTTAGGGCAAAAACTTTTTATGATTCAACCTATGGATGTTGATTATTTTCCTATCATTTTAGCTAATCACTGACACAATGGAAAGCTGATTCCTTGGATGAATTTCTTAGCTTCGGCTCGACGTTCCTTTTATGTGCACTATAAAAGGGAATCACATTGGCATGGCTGGTTTTCCATACCAAACTCAGCTCTCAATGTGAAACAGGAGATTTTATTCCATTTTTAATGGATGATTATGATTATCCCACTTTTGAACTGACTCTGATAGAAGTCCTTGGTCCCAGGCAACTCCTGTCCTTTGTTCCATATAGGCCTACGTTTCTCTATGTTATATGTATGTTATATGTATGTTCCATGTATGTTCTATGTATGTTCCATGTATGTTCCATGTATGTTATATGTATGTTCCATGTATGTTATATGTATGTTCCATGTATGTTATATGTATGTTCCATGTATGTTATATGTATGTTCCATGTCTTACTTGTTGAATGTTTCTCATCTCTCTGGAGAATAACCCAATGTTTTGCACAAGAATGATATGTTTTAGGTTATCCCGAAACAATTCCAACCCTTGTGTGGTGACCACATTAGATTGAACTGTTCTCCCTTTGTTGTCACACACAATGCTAGACACCATGGCTTATGTGGTTGTTCAAGGGATCAGATTAATGTTGATGTGGCACATATGGTTAAATCTTCCTGTTGACCACACCCACCTCTATGGATGTGTTTGTGTTCAAGGGGGGGCTCAGATTGGGTTTACAAACTACTGAATTATTCATATTTGATTTGCACAAGCAGTTGGTGAGCTTTGGATCTCACTCCCAAGTTGTATTTACATTTACTTAGAATTTTGCTATCGTCCTCATCTTATAGGTTACTTGCTAAAGATAGCATCGTTTTTAAATGTATCTTTGAATGTGATTTTGTCAGGTTTTAAATACATTTTGTTGCATACGACAGCTCTGTCTCCAGAGACAGAACAGTGAGTTAGTCACATACCATTTAAACAATGTTTAAAGATGCAGGTAAGTCTCTACTTCCTGATTGGGTCTAAAAACATTTAAAAACATTTACTTTGAAGATCCTCTGGTGGTTGAGAAACCAGTTCAAAATTGCTTTTATGACCTGTCGGCAGAGAACATTGAGATAATTTAGCAACCAAATACATTTGTTTTTTACAATTCTAATATTGATGCTAATTCTTACTAGACATAGACATGTGTTACTACCTTTGTTGTTATTCAACTGTTTTACATAAAATTTTTTTGCTTTTTGTTTTTGACATGATGTATTATTTTATTATTATGATCTATTTCTATTTATTTAAACTCAAGAATTGATCTTGGGGTGATTTTATTTAATATTTTCAAGGCAAACTTCCTCCCATAGTGGAGAGGCTTTTTCAATTGAACTTTCTGTCTTTCTCAAGATTTGACACTTATGATAGTGTAACTTTAATTATGCATTTAATGTCCTTTCATTCCATTTTATATCCATCTGATTCATGCTTGATCAACTTTGAGGATACCATTGACCAGACCAACCAATCTGACAACATGCAAAGCCAAACTGACTAGTAACTCTTGACTGTAATAATGTTTAATCAAATGTTGAGAACTGATTGAACTGATGTAATCTTTCTGCCGTTAACAAAGAATGATGTTTTATTGAGCTTAGTTTAAGGAATTTGTACTTAGGGACATTGGCATGTCAAAAGCACATTGTCAACGCTCCAATGGAAGACACTCCTGGTGTCATGGGCCCAAGGACTAGAAGTGAGGTATGTATAATATAATGTATATACACATGTCAAATATTACTTCCCACTACAGGTTCTGTGGTTTGTTCTGGAAGTACTGGAAATGCTCTTGAGTTTCATATAGCAGGTAGGAGGCAGGATAAGAGGATCCTAAAACAGCAACAGCAGTGTGTTGAGTGGAGGAGTGGGACTGTGTGGGGGTGCAATGTGAAGGGTGTGTGTGTGTGTGTGTGTGTGCGTGTGTGCGTGCGGTAGAGAAGAGTTAGAGGTGAGGTGTGTGTAGGCGGTGAGGCTGACACATCATCCCAATTATCAGCAAGGTTGAGATAAGAAACAGAGATGAGAACTGCAGTAACAATCTTTCCCTCAGTTTTGGAGACTTACGGTACAGAGAAAAACATAAAAGAAAATCAAGACTGTGTCTTTCAATGTGAATAACAACACTCCAAAACAGTGGGAATAGAAACAATTCTGCGACTCTCCACACTCAGTTGTCCTTCAGTTTGAACCACAAAACCTCAATTTCGGACAAAAAGCATGTCTTAAATGGCCAATCAGCAGTTGCTACATCCATTTTTGGACATAAATTAATTATATTTCCCATTGTTTCTTGAAGAATATAACTTATGAGCTTAGTTTAACTGCCGTACCCCATCAGAACCTAAAATATAAGCTTGTTTTACTCTAATGTTTGTAAACAACGTAAATGTAAACAAACACTGTACATGGTTAAAACTATAATTTTGATATCATGGATGGTCAGTCCCTGCATCAATAGCTCTGTCTATGAATTTGAGAGTGATTCCATTCATCCACCTCAATCCCTCAGCTTTTTACAGAAACAGTGGTTGGGAGCCGGCTTTGTTATTGTTTCTGCTGATTGGCCCATTCATGTTCATTAACCCTCTTATTTTCCTTACGGAAAATACCAGCAGCTGCATTGTGCACAGACTTACAGATAGAGAGCGATACAGAGAGGGGTATAAGGAAAAGAGAGAGGGGAGGCGGAGGGAGACACAGAGAGAGATAACTATTAGAGAGGGCATCAGAAAGAGTGAGAGAAAGCGAAAGAAACAGAGTGAGTTAAAGAGAGGAGCCCAGCTCAGCTTAGCTCAGAGCTGAGAGCTCAGCGCTGTGCCCTGTCTTCATCTGGGCAATGAAATGCTTTCGCACCAGTTAGAATACCGTAAGCTGGGTCTGTCTAAACAGGGTTTTCTCCTCCACCTCCTCATCTAATGCTCGCCAGGCCTACTACTAATTAATATGAAAGGCCAGGCCTGCCACCGCACCGCCGCAAACAAAGCAGCCTCGAATATTCAGAGGAAGGAATGCCCTCTGGCGCTGCCACGTGGTACGGGGCAGGAGAGAGAAACATTGTGTGTACGTGTGTAACACTAGAGGAGTTTAGTGGATGTTTCCTTGCACAGATGTATGGTACTTCCCTGGGTTGGAGATAAGAGGAGGGGGATGGGATGGTGTGCTGGGCTATACGAGAAAATAGGTACATTGTGCTGAAGGCACCTGAAACATGAATTGTTTATCATAGATATCAATATACAAATATGTTTCTAAACGAGAGAGAGTTGCACCCCCATGTCCTGAAATGTCCCTATATTACTTTTGTCTGCACCTACTTTGTGTTGGTTGATGCGCTGTCCACTCACTCACCTCCGGAAGGGGAGAAAAATAGGAAATGAACAACAAGACAAACAGCATGTGGTAGTGTAGAGAAGAGTGATAGGCTCCACGCTACTCTGTCCTGTCACACTGTTATCTACAATCATCTTGGTAGCACTGCAGAGTGACTCCAACAGAGGCCATGGTAAAGTGAAAAAATGCAAGTCTACAGTTTAAAGTCTCTCTCTCTCTCTCTCTCTCTCTCTCTCTCTCTCTCCTCTCTCTCTCTCTCTCTCTCTCTCTCTCTCTCTCCCCCCTATTTCTCCTTTCTCTCTCTCCTTCTCTCCTCCCCCTCCCTCTCTCTCCCTCCCTCTCTCCCAGTCTCGTCAGACCCCGGAGGGAGAGTTCCTACCTCTGGACCAGTGTGAGCTGGATGTGGGTTTTGGGACGGGTGCGGACCAGCTCTTCCTAGTGTCACCTCTCACCATCTGCCACGAGATCAATCCTAAGAGCCCTTTCTTTGACCTGTCCCAGCGCTCCCTCATGAACGAGCAGTTTGAGATCGTTGTCATCCTGGAGGGCATTGTGGAGACCACAGGTGAAGAACCACTACCCTCGCTCCTCCTGTTAACCCTTTACTCTCTTCTTCCTACCCTTCTCTCCTCCTTTTTAATTGATTATTCTTTCACTACCCTTTCTCCTCCTTTTAACTCCTTACTCTCTTCTTCCTAAAGAGGCTCCTCCTTTTCAAAGGCTCAATGCAGCCATTTTGATGTCAATATCAAATCATTTCTGGGTAACAATTAAGTACCTAATTTCCATTAAAATTGGCAAAAATATTTCTTGCCCAAAAAACTATTTCTCAAGCAAGTTTCACGATGGAAAGCCAAAACTCTCGCCCATGCAAACCTGCTGATTAGAAGGTCCTGTGTAGATTGTATTTCAACCAGGAACTATCAGGAAATAACACTGATAAAAAAAATGCACGTATTTACAGTGGTAGTTTCATCAGCATGATATAAAACACAGGAAAGTTGACTGCACTGAGCCTTTAATTGATTATCCTTTCCTGGTCCTTTTCTTCTTCTTCACCCCAACCATTATCTCCGTCCGTTCAGTGGGTTGTTCTTTCCCTATCTCCACCGTTTAGCTTGCAATTCTGGTATTCCTCTCTCCTCTCCATTATCTGAACTCGTCGAATTAAACTACTGTATATTCTCATATGCTTATCAGTCTTACTTCTCCATTTCAACCTGCCACATATCCCCATGTAATATTTCCATCCAGATTCTGGAGATAGTCAGACTAACAGATCTCTCTTAATCTCGAAAACCCTGTAAGAATCTAATAGATCTTAGTAAGTGTTCAGTGGTAAACAGAGCGAACAGTGGAGAGGTGGACGTTGGGTATTGGGGACAGCACCAGGGAATGGCTTCCTGATTGAATTATGAGGGACATTGTATTACTGCAGGATGTTTTTTTTTATCCCTACCCCATGTAAAATAGATAGGGTCATAGATGCAAATGTCACTTAGATAAATAAGCTTGGGGTTCAGCTGAAGTTACTCTATTTCTCACTGGGCAGAATGCAGGGTTAATTGTGAAACAGTAAGAGAAGTTGAACACAACAGCTGTACTGAACTACAGGCAGGCTGCAGGTGTGCTGGGTCGCCTATGGCAACAAAAGTGTTTTTCTCTCTTCTACATCGAACAATACGATTCCTCATTCTAATACTCATACATAAATAACAAAGTCTTTGTCTGCTCTGGCGTTATTTATTTATTTCTCTGCTCCCTTCTCTTTTTCCTTTCATCTCTCCTTTGTTCTTCTCCCCTCCTCCCTCTTTCTCGTTGTCCTGGGCAGAAGCATGAAGCTGAATAGAGGGAGGGATGGGCAGGCAGGCAGCACGCTCTGTGCTCTGTTGATAATGTCATTAAGGCATGCTGCAGCCAACCGCCTCTCTCCTCTCTCTCTCTCTCTCTCTCTCTCTCTCTCTCTCTCTCTCTCTCTCTCTTCTCTCTCTCTCTCTCTCTCTCTCTCTCTCTCTCTCTCTCTCTCTCTCTCTCTCTCTCTCTCTCTCTCTCAGCAGCACTGTGGTTCTCTGAGCTGAGGAGCAAAGCAGGGGGCTGAGGAGGGGTTCTACTCTGTATGAATGAGGTGGCCTTGGAGTCACCTGTGTGGTCCTGTGCACAGTGTGCAGACATCCCTTACTCCCCAGAGAAAGAAATCCATATCATCCACTGAGAGACAGGCAGAGCATTGTCCTGCCATTTGAGAAACCTTCTGTCACCAACTGATAGCCTTTGCATCTTTCTGGTGTCTGATTAGATGATTATGGGGTCTCTCTACTATCACACTATGATTGTACATCAGCTCCTGTTCCACTAGAGATGTGTGGTATGTAGGCCTAGTTGTCACAGCTTTCTGACAGGTGTGTGTGTGTGTGCTAGATGAAGAGAGCCAGTAGTAGGATTGAAAAAGAGGCTAGGAGAAGAAAAGTCATTGTATTATGGAAATGCACCATTTGAGTAGTGCCAGTGGAGGCTTTACATAAAGCTCTCCTCCAGCTGTTTTCTCACTTGCTCAGCTGCTTTGATTTTCATTCAAGGCCCACAAAACATAACAGACTGTCAGTGTACCTGGCAAGAACGTTGGGCTCTGACGCCACATCATTTCCTGCTGCAACTGTATACCTTTCCAGTCACCATCAATGGGCAAATTATAGCTAATTATCACCAAATTCTATATGAAAGAATAGAAAATAACTTTAATTAATTTCAGCTTAGGGTTGAGGATAGTCAAGGGTTTGGGTAAACCCCTTGGTAGTGATATTACTGTGTCAGTCAAATGTCAGGGAAAGGATCAGTTTCTCTTTCTGCAGTCAGCCAGCTCTGTTTAACAGAGCAATACAGGGCTTATTGATCGGTGAGGGCCCTCGATACAGATATAATTGTCAAGGAAATAATTTTACAAGAGCTGAGGTCAAATAAAAACCTACAATTTTATTTGTCACATGCTTTGTAGACAACAGGTGTAGACTAACAGTGAAATGCTTACTTACGGGTCCTTTTCCAACGATGCAGAGTTAAAGATAAAATCTAAATAATACACAGTGGATAACGAATAAAAATAATTAGTAAAAATAACATGGCTATATATAGGAAGTAGAAAATAACATGGCTATTTACAGGGAGTACCAGTACTGAGTCGATGTGCAGAGGTACGAGGTAATTGAGGTAGCTATGTACTGTACACATAGGTAGGGATAAAGTTACTAGGCAACAGGATAGATAATAGACAGTAGCAGCAGCGTATATGGTGAGTATGAAAGTGTGTGTGTGCGTGTGGCGCCAGTGTGTGTGTGTGTTGGGGTGTAAGAATGTGTGAGTGTGTGGGTAGAGTTCAGTGTGTGTGCATAGAGTCAGTGCAAAATAGTTTGTGCAAAAAAGGGTCAATGCAGGTAGCCATTTATTTGGCTATTTAGCAGTCTTGTTTAGAAGTCTTATGGCTTAGGGGTAAAAGCTGTTCAGGGTCCTGTTGGTTCCAGACTTGGTGCATTGGTACCACTTGCCGCGCGGTAGCAGAGAGAACAGTCTGTGGCTTGGGTGGCTGGAGGCTTTGACAATTCTTTGGGCCTTCCTCTGACACCGCCTGGTATAGAGGTCCTGGATGGCAGGGAGCTTGGACCCAGTGATATACTGGGCCGTACACACTACCATCTGTAGTGCCTTGTGGTCGGATGCCAAGAAGTTGCCATACCAAGTGGTGTTGCAGCTGTGTAACTTTTTGAGGATCTGAAGGCCCATGCCAAATCTTTTCAGCCTCCTGAAGGGGAAGAGGCATTGTCGTGCCCTCTTCACGACTGTGTTTGGACCATGATAGATCCTTTAGTGATGTGGACACAGAGGAACTTGAAGCTCTCAACCTGCTCCACTACAGCCCTGTCGATGTGAATAGGGGCGTGCTAGGCCCTCTGTTTCCTGTAGTCCACAATCAGCTAATTTGTCTTACTGATGTTGAGGGAGAGGTTGTTGTCCTGGCACCACACTGCCAAGTCTCTGACCTCCTCCCTATAGGCTGTCTCCTCGTCATCAGTGATCAGGCCTACCACCGTTGTGTCATCGGCAAATGTAAGAATGGTGTTGGAGTTGTGCACAGCCACGCAGTTGTAGGAGAACAGGGAGTACAGGAGGGGACTAAGCACGCACCCGTGAAGGGCCCCTGTGTTGCAGGTCAGCGTAGCAGATGTGTTGTTGCCTACCCTCACCACCTTGGGGCGGCCCATCAGGAAGTCCAGGATCCAGTTGCAGAGGGAGGTGTTCAGTCCCAGGGAACTTAGCATAGTGATGTGCTTCAAGGGCACTATGGTGTTGAATGCTGAGCTGTAGTCAATGAACAGCATTCTCATGTACAGTGGGGAAAAAAAGTATTTAGTCAGCCACCAATTGTGCAAGTTCTCCCACTTAAAAAGATGAGAGAGGCCTGTAATTTTCATCATAGGTACATGTCAACTATGACAGACAAATTGAGAAAAAAAAATCCAGAAAATCCCATTGTAGGATTTTTAATGAATTTATTTGCAAATTATGGTGGAAAATAAGTATTTGGTCACCTACAAACAAGCAAGATTTCTGGCTCTCACAGACCTGTAACTTCTTCTTTAAGAGGCTCCTCTGTCCTCCACTCGTTACCTGTATTAATGGCACCTGTTTGAACTTGTTATCAGTATAAAAGACACCTGTCCACAACCTCAAACAGTCACACTCCAAACTTCACAATGGCCAAGACCAAATAGCTGTCAAAGGACACCAAAATCAAAATTGTAGACCTGCACCAGGCTGGGAAGACTGAATCTGCAATAGGTAAGCAGCTTGGTTTGAAGAAATCAACTGTGGGAGCAATTATTAGGAAATGGAAGACATACAAGACCACTGATAATCTCCCTCGATCTGGGGCTCCACGCAAGATCTCACCCCGTGGGGTCAAAATGATCACAAGAACGGTGAGCAAAAATCCCAGAACCACACGGGGGGACCTAGTGAATGACCTGCAGAGAGCTGGGACCAAAGTAACAAAGCCAACCATCAGTAACACACTACGCCGCCAGGGACTCAAATCCTGCAGTGCGAGACGTGTCCCCCTGCTTAAGCCAGTACATGTCCAGGCCCGTCTGAAGTGCATTTGGATGATCCAGAAGAGGATTGGGAGAATGTCATATGGTCAGATGAAACCAAAATATAACTTTTTGGTAAAAACTCAACTCGTCATGTTTGGAGGACAAAGAATGCTGAGTTGCATCCAAAGAACACCATACCTACTGTGAAGCATGGGGTTGGAAACATCATGCTTTGGGGCTGTTTTTTTGCAAAGGGACCAGGACGACTGATCCGTGTAAAGGAAAGAATGAATGGGGCCATGTATCGTGAGATTTTGAGTGAAACCCTCCTTCCATCAGCAAGGGCATTGAAGATGAAACGTGGCTGGGTCTTTCAGCATGACAATGATCCCAAACACACCGCCCGGGCAACGAAGGAGTGGCTTCGTAAGAAGCATTTCAAGGTCCTGGAGTGGCCTAGCCAGTCTCCAGATCTCAACCCCATAGAAAATCTTTGGAGGGAGTTGAAAGTCTGTGTTGCCCAGCGACAGCCCCAAAACATCACTGCTCTAGAGGAGATCTGCATGGAGGAATGGGCCAAAATACCAGCAACAGTGTGTGAAAACCTTGTGAAGACTTACAGAAAATGTTTGACCTGTGTCATTGCCAACAAAGGGTATATAACAAAGTATTGAGAAACTTTTGTTATTGACCAAATACTTATTTTCCACCATCATATGCCAATAAATTCATTAAAAATCCTACAATGTGATTTTCTGGATTTTCTTTTCTCATTTTATCTGTCATAGTTGACGTGTACCTATGATGAAAATTACAGGCCTCTCTCATCTTTTTAAGTGGGAGAACTTGCACAATTGGTGGCTGACTAAATACTTTTTTTCCCCACTGTAGGTAGTGGGAAAGGGCAGTGTGGAGTGCAGTAGAGATTGCGCCATCTGATGATCTGTTGGGACGGATTGCAAAATTGGAGTGGGTCCAGGGTGCCTGGGATGATGATGTTGATGTGAACCATGACCATCTTTTCAAAGCATTTCACAGATGTGAGTGCTACAGGGCGATAATCATTTAGAGAGATTACCTTGGCGTTCTTGGGCACAGGGACTATGGTGATCTGGTTAAAACATGTAGGTATTACAGACTGGGTCAGGGAGAGGTTAAAAATGTCAGTGAAGACACTTACCTGATGGTCAGCACATGCTCTGAGTATGTGTCCTGGTAATCCGTCTGGCCCTGCGGCCTTGTGAATGTTAACCTCTTTAAAGGTCCTACTCACATCAACTACGGAGTGTGATCACACAGTTGTCCAGAAGAGCTGGTTCTCTCACGCATGGTTCAGTTTTGCTTGCCTCGAAGCGAGCATAGAAGGCATTTAGCTCGTCTGGTCATGTCACTGGGCAGCTCGTGGCTGAGTTTCCCATTGTAATCCATGATAGTTTGCAAGCCCTACCACATCCGATGAGCGTCTGAGCCGATGTAGTAGGATTCGATCTTAGTCTTGTATTGACGATTTGCCTGTTTGATGGTTCTTCGGAGGGCGTAATGGGATCTCTTATAAGCGTCCGGGTTAGTGTCCCGCTCCTTGAAAACGGCAGCTCTAGCCTTTAGCTCAGTGTGGATGTTGCCTGTAATCCATGGCTTCTGGTTGGGATATGTACGTACGGTCACTGTTGGGATGATGTCGCCAATGCATTCATTAATGAAGCTCCCAGAGAAGGCTGTGCTCAGGATGATGCGCCGGTCATTATCTGACTGACTCCTTTTCAAATAGGACCAGGACGTAATGTAACCAACCACTGGTATAGGGACCTTTTCATATAGGACTATACGACATCATGCAAACAGCAATACCAGACTACCCTTTCCTCGGCTACGGGTGCTACATGTTTTCCTTTTATTGCTGCATGGATGCTGCAATTTCTGCTACAATGTTATTGCTCTTTACTTAGGATTATCATATTTTGTTTATGGTAGACTAGATTAAACTAATTTCTATGAATATGGCTATTAGTGCCATTGATAGGAGTGATGTGAGGAGAGCACCCAAGGCTCCTGCAGCATCAAAGGAATGGATCTGGTAAAGGTGGTGTTAGGAGATTCCTTATTAGCCTGAGCAGAAAAAAACAACAGGTAATTATCACTAAATGCATTTCAACACTGATCAAAGGGATGAGTAACCTTTGGCCTCTAGTGATTGCCATGGATACAAAAGAACAGCTGTAGAATCATGTAGGATGAGGTTTCATTGAGACAGAGCTAGATATAGAAATAGAAAAGAAAAGTATCTAGCTATGAGACCTGCAGCCAATGTCCTTTAGTATGCTGTTTCCATCAAGCTCATTTGAGCCAATGGCCCCACACTCTGCAGAGGCAGAGGGAGGTAAACAGTGAGTGCAATATATCTGTCTGTTTGTCTCAGGGACAGCCTCAGCCAAACCTATAAGTGGAAACGGATCGATGAGTAACAGTGCTGTGGCCATTTTTACGATCAGAGGAACGGCAAATGTCTTCCGGCTAGATTTACGGGCGCAGCAGTATTTAAATCTCCCCTGTATGGCTAGAGTGAGGGAGGTCTGTGCCAAAGCAGGTCTGTGTCGGGGAAATTGCTTTTTTCTCATGCTGTCAGACAATTCAAAGACTGAATTGTTTCCACACATGCTAAGAGTAGAAGAGAGGGAAAGAGAAGGGGGATGGAGGGAGAGGACGAGATAAGTGGGAGGAGGTTGGTTTGCTACTTCATTTTCTCCTTTCTCTCGCACCTTATTGTTGGATGGTAACTAAACTCCACAGTATTTTCATCCTATTTATCAAAAATGACAGTTATTACAGGGCTATTTAACACCTGTGTTTGTGCTGCCTAGTCAATGCTAGAGGCTGAGTTTCACTCTTTCTCCCTGTCTCTCAGGTATGACGTGTCAGGCGCGGACGTCGTACACTGAGGATGAGGTGTTGTGGGGCCACCGCTTCCTGCCCGTCATGTCTCTGGAGGAGGGATTCTTCAGGGTGGACTACTCCCAGTTCCACAGCACTTTCGAGGTCAACACCCCACCCTACAGCGTCAAGGAGCATGATGAGAAGTCCTCCCTGCTTTCGCCCCTCTCCACCCCCACGCTGGGCGAGAGCCACGGTGCCGCCCGACGTGCCCGTGTCTTCTCTGTGGACTGCATCAACACTACGGACCGGGAGGAGCGGGCAGGGCAGTCCAGGTTGCCCAGTAAGCTTCAGAGGATGAGCTCGTCTGGGAAGGAGGACCTACAGAGGAAGGTTCTGATGCTGAGCTCCCAGCACTCTGAGAAGGCCTGCAGTACTGGAGACCTGCCTCTCAAGCTGCAGCGTCTCAGCTCCTCCCCCGGCCCAGAGGCTGCAGCTCGGCTGCAGCTCAAGGCCTTGAAGGTGGGCTTTGAACCCATGACCCAGTCCACTGGAGACCTGCAGCTGCCCCCCACCCCAGCCCCCGTCCCAGCCCGCATCCACACCCCTCTGCCCTCAGGAGGGGGCCGACCAGAGGACAACCTGCCGGCCAAATTACGCAGGATGAATGCTGACCGCTGAGGTCATCATGACCAGACTTTGGTTGCATCCCAAATGGAACCCTATTCCCTATATAGTGCACTACTTTTGACAAGGGCCCATAGGAGGCTCTGGTCAAAAGTAATGCACTATGTAGGGAATAGGGTGTCATTTGGGACGCATCCCCAGTCTAACTTCTCTTTGAACTATGGAGAGACAGAAAATGGAATGTGACTGAATATACTGAAAGACAATGACATGGAAGGAAAAAAATATATGATGGGCGTTGTGTCACTATTTTCTGGTTTTTCAAACACAACCTTTACTGGAATTACTGTGATTTTTGGGTGTTTTATAGCAACAGTGTTCATACTGGTCACACACACAAACACACACACACGCACACATGCTCACACGCTCATCTTTCCGTCATCACCCACACACTCTACACAATTGTGCATGTATACAATCAATCCATCTGAATGCACTGCATACCCCCTCTCTTAGTTTTAAACAAATAAAATATATTTAAGATGATAATACTTCCTTTGTCTATATTCTAGTTTCCATCAACGGGAACATCTACTTAGCTAAGAAATACAGTCAAAATGCAATCTAACTATTTTGTTATTATTCATCATTGGGGCAGTATGTTATAGTAATCTGTTACTCGTTAGTTTATATAATACCTTTGTTTTTACATTCAATAGGTTGTTGATGGCCTAATCTTAGCTGCTGGAGAGAAACACTTTCCATAACAGTTCCATAACTCCTTTGAACAGAGTCAGACACAGTGGATTATGGGCTTTGCTGATACCAGAGAGAAACACAGAGTCTTCATCCCAAATGGCACCCTATTCCCTATATAGTGGAGTGCACTACTTTTGACCAGGGCCCATAGGGAATAGGGTGCCATTTGAGATGCAGATGGAGGCTTATCCTTGGTGGTGATTGGCTGGTGTTTGGGAGTGGAGGATGGGGAGTGAAACAGTGGAGGAAGTGTCCGTTCCCTTCAGACGGGCAGAGACAAGCAGCATGGCTAAACTAACACAAACAGACATACAGACACACACAAACACACACACTCTTTCAATTGTCAACCCATGGTAGCTGAAGGGAATAATGATTATTATATAGAATAGGATATACATTAGTCACAAGACTTCTCTCACAATGAAGTCTCCATGATAAAGTCCAACGGCAGACTTTAAGGACAGAAGCTTTGAAATGGGCACAACCTTTTACTCCTCCGAACAAATGGAGAGGAAAAAGTGGAAAGGGAGAGAGCAAGGGAGGAGGACAGAGAGAAAAGAAAGAGTGGAGCTGGTCACCTGAGCTCAGGGACAGAGAGCAGCGTAGGCTTTGGGAGGATTAGTCCATGTCTGCATACCAAATGGCCCATAGGGCTCTGTTTAAATATATTGCACTATAAAGGGGAATGAGGTGCTATTTGGCACGCAACCAATACAGGCCTCAGTGGGATTTAGCACTCCTATGAGTAGAGGGGTCAGACCAATGGATGTATGATAGTTACACCCACCCACCCACCAAGCCCTAATTTCTCCACCAACGCCACAAAGGGAGGAGAATCGATCAGGGGAATTAGATTTTCCCTGCTTGAGTGGCACGCCTGAAGGGACATGCGTGGAGCGATCTCTAGCCTCTGGTAATGAATTCCTCACTGCGTTCGCCCACTCAGAGTTTATGCTAGAGCCTAACCTGATCCACACGATCCAACCTTTTCATTTAGCAGCATAAAGAGTCTGTAAGTGTGTGTGTGTGTGTGTGTGTGTGTGTGTGTGTGTGTGTATCTCAGCGCTTACACACTTAAACACTACACTCCTTCCACTGGCTCAGCAGAGGATAAGTCACCCAATCACACTACAACAATGAATAGAAATAGCCTCATTACAATAAGAGGAAGGGGCCGAGTGACCGGGACTGAGCTCAATCTACACCTCTTCAGAAGATGATTACAATACACTCTAATATTATGGTCACAGACCATATGCACTTAACAAAGATGACATACTGTGTGAACGAATCGATGCACCACACAAGAGCGCATTACTCTCATATACAGATGCAGGCTCTTCATTTGATCACCCTGTTGCAGGAGAACTTTCCTGCAGTAAAGAAAATGTTGAACTTGTAGTGTATTTGAGATTTTAAAAGGCTTCTGAAATAATTCTCACTTTGAAAATGTCAGACTTAATTTTCCCTTATGAAAAATGTATCAACCCCTACAAAAATGTCCATTAATTATAATCCACATAATATTGTGATTCACATTTCCTGTTGAAGCAGGGTTATTATCCTGCTGTGACAAACTGGCTGAAATTAAGATCCTTCATCTGTACATCACTTAGTCAATCTCACTATTAGAGACTGATGTAAACGCTCTGACTGAAGATACATGGTTGGCATGACAATGAGTGACATGGAGTTGGCAGCGATAGCGCGAGCAGACTGGAAATCAAGCTAGAAGATACTCTGGACCTATGGACATTACACATTCTTATCAGTCCTCAAAAGACTGATACAAAGGTCTGTCGAAACTCGCTATGTGCTAAAAATAAGGATATTGAAGACCTGTCCTGTGCTCCATCATTTCCTGCTCCTTATTTTGATATCTTATTCAGGAGTGTCAGAGGTGATTTAGGTAAAGATCTCTCAGAGATAACACCTCCACTGGGTAAAAATACCAGGAGCATGAATACTTGGGATGTGTCCAAATGGCACCCTATTCCCTATTTAGTACACTACTTTTGACCAGGGCCCATAGGGAATAGGGTGCCATTTGGAATGCATCATTAGGAGGTGACAAGCTTTGGAAAACCGGTCCACAACAACGAGAACGGTGGTGTTCCCCTGGGAGGGGGGAAGGTCAGTGACAAATTCCACCGAGAGGTGAGACCAGGGTCGTTGTGGAAGGGGAAGGAGCTTTCAATAAGGGAGGTGTCTGGGTGTCTTAGACTGGGCACAGATGGAGCAGGAAGAGACGTAAAGCCGGACGTCCCTAGCCAAGGTGGACCACCAGTACTTCTCAGTCAGGCAGGCGATGGTACGGCCTATCCCAGGATGACCCGACACAGGCGGCGTGTGCGCCCAGGAAAGGAGGCGGTCCCGCACACCCGATGGCACTGTGCAGGTGCGGGTTCCGTACGCAGGGCCTGCCGTATGTCGGTGTCCACGTCCCACACCACTAGCACGATGATACGGAACGGAGGGATGATGGGGGTCTCCTCTTCCTGCCTCTCCTCTGCCTGGGTTGGAGCATGGGAATTCCCTGGCTTGTCACCTCCTCGCCTATTATTGGATAGAGGGCAGGTCGGGGAGAAATGACTCCTTTCTCCACCATAGGAGCAGAGGCCCAGATTCCTCCTTCTCCTACGCCCTGCCTCTGGCAAACGTGCAGAGCAAACCTCCATCGGCTCTGGCCACGGAGCAGGTGTAGCCATGGGCTCCGGATTTCGTGCAGATCTTCGTCCGGAAAACAGAAGGTTCGCCAACCGGATCGCCATGCTGATGAGATGGTTGAGTGACAGGTTGTCATCACGGCAGGCTAACTCCATCTGTACCTCCTCCTACAATCCGCTGCGGAACACGGTGACCAGAGCTGACTCGTTCCATCCGGAGGAGGCCGCGATGGTCCGGAACTCCAGGGCGAACTCCGAAGCGGTCCTAGATTCCTGGCGTAGTCGGAGTAGACGCTCACCCCCCTCTCGGTCCTCCACAGGATGATCAAACACCGAGCGGAAGAGGAGGGTGAAGCGCTCGTAGGACTCAACCTCGGGTCCGCCCGTTTCCCAAACCGCGTCACCCCAGTCCGGGACCCGTCCGGTCAGTGCCGAGATTACTGTGGCAAACCTGTCTCTCCCGGAGACAGCCTCGGCGTAGCGAGCGAGGTACAGTACGTCAAAGCGCTCCGGGAGGGACAGGGGTATTCTGTGGACCTCGTGATGCTGGACTGTCTCTACGATGGTTGCCAGCTCAGCCTTTCCCGCTGTCTCCATTTTTATGGGTTGATTATTCTGTCACATTGTATAATGATTTGAAGACAGGCGCAGAAATACGTATTAGGGGTTTTATTACTCCACCCAACACAAACACGTATACAGTATATATACAAAAGGGATGTAACCCAAACAAAGAGCAAGGTGTAACCTCGACACAATACACGGGACGAGACCCGTAAACAACCAGAGCACAATACACAGTACTCACGAGACCAACGGACATGGGACAATAATCGACAAGGACAATGGGGAACAGAGGGCACATATATACACATACTAATCAGGGGGAATGGGAACCAGGTGTGCGTAATGAGACAAGTCCGGGGTTGGTGGTAATGATCCATGTCAGTAACGCCTAGAAAGCCGGTGACGTAGACCTCCAGAACTGGTGAACGGAATGAGCAACAGTACCAGGGGGATCCATGACAATTAGGATGTATTGATTGTGTATATCTTCACACCCCAGAGTTAATACTTGGTGGAAGCACCTTTGGCAGCCATTCCAGCTGTGAATAATTTTTTATACGATTCTACAAACCTTGCACAACATTTTAAGGCAGCAAAATGTGAAGACTGTCGAAGGGATGTGTAGACTTTCACTAGGCACATTATGTACTTTAATCACAATAATGTTTTTTTTTTTTACGTAGCTGTATTGGAATTATAGTTAATTAAGCAACTTCTCAACACAACCATACACTACACACAGACACAGAAACACACACACACACACTTTATTTTTTATTTTTTTTACCTTTATTTAACCAGGTAAACCAGTTGAAAACAAGTTCTCATTTACAACTGCGACCTGGCCAAGATAAAGCAAAGCAGTGCGATAAAAACAACAACACAGAGTTACATATGGGGTAAACAAAACATAAAGTCAAAAATACAACAGAAAATATATATACAGTGTGTGCAAATGTA